ATATATAAAAGTTGCTCAAGGAGCTTTACAATGTCTAAAGCAGATGAAAAATGAAAATACACAAAAAACATGATCGAACTACAGAAAGACTGTGCAATCTCCTCCCTTCCGCCTTGGCACAATAACCCAAATGGAAGCCTTTATGAAGCTCTGATGGAAGCAGAGTGCGCTTTATAATGCACGTTCGTGCACACTACTACATTTCCAGCTAATCAGAAGCGCGCAGTTGCAGAAAGGAGAGCGGTTGCCAAGGCAGCCACCAATCTCCCCTCCCCCTTCTCCCTCCGTTCCTCTTTCCCGTTTATTATCGGCAGAGGTCGCATGGCAGAGGGAAGTCCAACCACTTCTGTACTGGAACCAATGCAAGAATATGCACCTCCATAACAAAGCCTGTATGGAGTCCTGAGAGCGGCGGGACAGGACAGGCTGCAGGTTTGCGGGCTGCTGTTCAGCTTTTAGAAATACCCAGTAAGACAGGATCTAAGTTGGATGTTTGCATTGTTTTGCCAGCACGTGTGTTATCTGTGAATTTGTACTCTCGCTTTTGAGTGAGTGACTGAGTGAGTGAGTGAGTGAGTGTTTCGCATCCCGGCGCGGGGCTCTGAGGAGGACTGCGCATCACTTAGAGTTGGTGCCGAAGTTCGGCCGCGAACGGATAGGAGGGAAGAGTGCGCCGAGTAAAACTCCCTCACTTCTTTTCGTCTCTCCCGCTTTGGCGCTGTGTTTGCCAGGACAATAGTACGTCAAAGACGCTGAAAGTGATTTCATGCCTTCAGTCTCGCACAGTCTGAGATGGACGTGAGATTTTATCCTGCGCCCCCGGCAAATGTGGGTTCATGCTCCCTACCGACTGATCCAAGTTGCCTGAGCTCGTTGGACTATTATCACACGAACAAGGTAAATAACTATTTGTGTAGTCTCGTGCACTGAAACGATGTCTCACCTGTCTGTCTGCACGTTCACGCAATAAAAATGCGTGTTTTGGAGGCGTTTTATACAGAGGCGCCCACTTGCTCCGAACGCACCTGGGTCAGGGTGCACTGGTTTTAATCTAGTGCGGAGCAAGACTGTCACAATTTATATTACTTACTTTAGAGTTAAACTTGTAATCTTTTCTGTTTTCGTGTTTTTTTTATGTGCGGAACAACTTTTCTTTTTTCTTTTGCAAGCATGTTTATTGTGTTGTTTTCTCGGTGAAACTGCAGTTGAATTTTGCGCAAAGCTAACATTAAGTGTCCCACCCGATGTGGAATACCAGGGACTGTATAGAATCCATACTGCCCCGCTCTGCTCTCTGAATCCAACATTATCTTCCCTCTCAATGATTTCTTATGGCTTACATGGTTTTTCCGCTGGGAGTTCAGCGATTAAATGGATCCGTGCCAGTAATGTACCGTTAATTACTTTGCAACGAGAAACCACAGTCTGGCTTGTACAAGTATCCCTCTTCTCTCCTTCAGTTTTGACACCCGCGCCTTTAGCCTTGTGAACTGCACTGACCCGAGTGAGGGAGCAGGTGGCATTTAAAACAACATTATGAATATTTTGCTGTTTGACATTTTCCAAAACTACGAAGCAGAGAAATAAATCAGCCCATAAAAGAAAGACTTAGCAGTGTAAAAACAACAACAAAAAAAGACTAAACAAAAAAACAAACAAATCCAGAAGCTGGAAAAACACTAGAACTCCAAATCTATTCAACTGAAAAGCTGCCATGAGAGATAAAAACACCACAAAGGAAGAAGAGATTACAGGTGACGTACTAATAAGTACCGCAAAGTGAACGTATGGCCCGTGGAAGTACTAGCAAAACAATTTTTAAACTGCCTAATTTACAGCTTCCGCTAGTGTTAACAGCATCTCAGCCATCTGCAATCACTGAATAAGAGTTTGTTGTTTTCACTCACCGTGCTTGGAATATTACAAATCACCAGGCTCAGGATGCTGACCTGCTGCTGTATACTTCTTATAAGGCAACGGTGCTTTGGAGCTCTTTGGCTTTCTCAAATAAAACACGGCTTTCAGGTATGACAATGAGGGAAATCATGCAAAAGACAGTTGGGGATGTTTTACTTTCACTGTGTGGGCAATGGAAAATCTTTGTAACTGACAGGGACATTCCAGTAATCAAGTGTAGATACATAGATACAAAAAATAAACAAAAAACAGCACAACAGTAATCTTTGTTAAGGTTTGATCACACAACGCCCAAGTGTCAAAGACAGATAAAGCAAACTGGACTTGGTTTTTATAAGCGCCTCCCATTTGATCACAAATAAGGTCCATATAAAGCTTTTATCGATACACCTGTGACACAAAAATGGGCCCATATAACTGTCTCCTCTGCGCAGGCTATCTTTTTTTGTAGGTCAAATGAATTGAGATCATCCACCATGCGGATAATCCTAAGAATATGCTGATATCCAGGCACTGCATGAATCTCGGAAACAAAGCCAGTTGATATTAAACGATATAAAGAGCTTTCGCAGAGGAGAAACCAACTATTGTCACTTAGACATAAAGTGTGGTGGCCCTCGAAAATACAAGTGTTCATTTGAATTATTGAAATCCCCCTCACTGCCTTTACTTGGGTTTCTTTCCACCAGGGGAGGAATAATTTGTTATCATCACATGTGTAACACTAACTACCTTCACTAGCAATGCAAATGAGGCAGGCCCCAGCAGGGATCATTTGGTGTCCTGTTGACACAGTGCACAAGGTCAAGTTCCTTTCCTCAAGCACTTGTCAAAGCGACTGCGGCATAAAACAGACATCAGATTTGTTGTGTAGGTACTTTATCTACAGATCACATTGCCTGCTGCTAACCATCTCTGACAAAATTGGTTGGCCAGTTTCAAATCCCATCCTGTGTCTCTTTCTTAAACTACGCACAGAGCCAAAAAAAAAGGCTAATCATAGCATTGAGGTCAATTGTTTTGAAGGGCTTACTTTGCATATTCACGCGGGTATTTTGGTTTGTAGTTGAATTTGTTGGTGGATTTGTTGGCTTTCAGTTTAGCTCAAATATATTCAGTTGGGATTATTATTATTGGAAAAGATTCAAAATAATTTGAATAAAAAGAAACACCAGATGCGATTTAGCATTATTTTTCTATGGCTGCTTTTTTTCACTTTTTTTTTTTAAAGCAATTTACAGTCTGAGAAAACATTTCTCCTTTTATCGCTGTGAAATTAATGGTGTTAATCTGAGTCACGCACGAGTTTAATTGGATAAAATGAGCATGTGTTTGTATTTTAGCTGTTTATTTGCAAACCTCTTTTTTTGTGTGCTGCTGTTGCTGCTGACTCAATTTGGATACTGTGTGCGGACACGAGCTGAGTTTGAGTAATTAGCAACTTTCTGTGACTTCCAGGGCACACGTGCTCCTGTCATGCTTTCGACCTTTGTGATGTTGCTCATTTGGAGCCGTCGTTGGTTTCATTCATGTTTCGGTGCATGTTCTAGGTCAGGTGTTTCTTAGTCTTTCTGTAACATCTTCCAATATGACAGTGCATAAATCACTTCTGTTAAATTGGCAGTGTTGTCCGCATTTTGCAGGTAGGAAAAGTTTTCCAAGGTTTTGGAGCAGTGGTTTGTCTTTAGTTATCCATTAAAAAACATGAATCATCTGCTAACCAAATCAGTTTGTGGTAAGGCTGTTTTTACTGATCCATTGTTCAGTGGAAAAAAACAGAGGGTATAAAAGCAAAAAAAAATGCACCGAGAAGGTACTTTAAGTGCAGATTGAGGTGATTCACAAAGGTCTATAAATAACCTTGAAGATATCTAGCTCAGTACTTTCAATACTCCCTTTATTTCACTGTGAGAGTCTGTGTTATTACTGGGGTGAACTCCCACAGCCAGGGAGAAATCACACAAAATAATACCATTACAAAAGCTTTGTGCTCTGATGGTGATATGAAACTGTACCGTGTTTTTAATGCTGTCAGCTTCCTGACAGACTGCAAGGCACAGACATTACTCATATATGCTGTGCACAAATTTGCAGTGTAGTAAGCACCGAAAGTAAACAGATACATCTTGTCGTATACAACATGTCCAACTGTAATTGTACTGCGGCTATTCGTTTGTCCAGCACTTTTGGTTTGCTCTGTGAAATGGGAACACAGTGTCTGCTCCTTTATTTGAATACCTTAATCAAACATTGCTGACTGCTGCTGCTTCTGCTGCCGCTGCTGCTGCTGTAGCTGGAGTGAGGTGCTGCCTACAATATAGCAATAGAGTGCAGAGATAGTAAGGCCTGTGTTTATACACTCAGGCCCCACCCAGCTCATATATCCTCCCAACAACTGATATCTGGTTAGATAGAGCAGAACTGAAGAGCAGGCTTTGTTAGTTGGTGGTCTCCCCTGCCTCAGATAAGCTGGGGAATGATGCACTCCATTTGAATGCCTTATCTCAGTTTTATTTTTTATTATAGGACTACCTTGTCTGTGCTGTGCAAAGGTTTGATTACTTTGCATTAACATAGTCAGCGAGCTTCCATCAACTGATCATCCTCAACTGAAACAAGCTCTTGAATAAACACTGTTCATGAATTTACGGTTCATTTTGCCTCAATCTACTGGGGGCTATTTTTAATAACTTAAGTACTTAAAGATGGCTGACAAATTAGCCAGTGCCTGTAATGCTGGCTGTAGTGCCTGCTCATGTTGAGCAGTGTTTTCACTGTTGTAATAAACTCTGTGGTATGTGACAGAGAGGCAGAAAGGGAGAATCAAAGGATGAGCGTGAGTCAAATGGGTTGAAGTAATCAGTGGCCCAGTGTGGGGACACTGTGAGTGTGTGTGTGTGTGTGCCCGTGCATGCTAACTCGGGGCCATTCAAGCGTTTTGCTGACTACAGAATCACAATCACAATTGCTTTCATAGCCCTGTGCAGAGGAAGGCCATGCATACCACAGTAAGGGCCGGTGACACACAGCGAACAGGGGCAGAGCAAAAACAGCTACTAAATCATATTCTCCCTGCCCCGACACACAGAGGAGGTTTTAATAGGGATTCCAACCATCTGAAATCATTTCAATAAAACTGGAATTGGCTCTGACAGTGGCTGAGTCACAGGACCCAGAGTATGGCACAGATATTTCTTGCCATATGATCTTTTTGTTTCATAAGCGACTTTGCTGGACAAGTCTTCTTCCCAAATAAACGCAAGATGCCTGCATTGGTTGTTTTCTGCTTTTTTTGCCAGCTGTGTTTTGGATGGATTTTGACAGATTAAGGAAATGAGACACACGATGATACACGGCTTTAAAATGCCGCATGTTTCTTGGTTTGGCCCTTAAAATGTAGTCGTTGTGTTTGATCTAGGTTATGAGTGTCACAGTATGATTGTGTGAGTGGTGAGGGTGGGGGTGGGGGGGTTCCCTGTGCTAATTATTGGCAATGGCAGCACTAAGCTACTTTCTCGTTGGTGGGCACCAGTGCATCCCCCTCAGCGTCTGTTACAATAATTAAGACCAGCCGCCCCGCTGCAGTGTGCTTACATTTGTCTGCCCGGGCCTTCCCATGGGGCAATGCGATGGCATTCTTATTCTTATTCTTATGGCAGAAGAAGGAAAAAGAAAAAGAAACAGAGCCAGCACCTGCTGCAGAGTAGGCCCCTGGGTGTTTAGTTAAATGTTGATTATGTTTGTTAATGGCTGAAAACACATTTAGAAGATGCGTATGGTGGGGGTGTGCTCTATTTGTCTATCTGTATTGGTGACAGAGTTCATTGTGGGTTTATATTTAATAAACTTGCAGCTGTTTCAGCTGGAAAAGCTACACTGAAAAAAATGTAAAGGAGTGCAAAAATGTCCCTTGAAATGATTAAAGACTTACGTATTTAATCAGTTAAGTCGTGCATCCAGAAAACAATCCCTCTGTTCTC